TGAAATAAATCTACAGAGGATAAACTAATACCATAGGGCTCCATAAAGAAAGCGACAGAATACCTATCAAGAAGGGTGTAAACAGGGAGGTACAATCTCCCCACTGCTATTTACCGCGTGCTCACAGGACGTTTCCAGAGGCCGAGAATGGGAACAGTTAGGGATAAGAGTTAATGGAGAGTACCTCAGTAACCTGCGCTTTGCCGGTGACATTGCATTGCTGAGTAACTCATAGGACGAATTACAACTCAATATTACTGAATTGGACACGAGAGCAGAAAGTCATGTCTTAAAATTAATCTGCAGAAAACGAAAGTAATGTACAGCAACCTCAGAAAAAAACAGTGCTTCGAGATAGGTAATAGTGCACTTGAAGTTGCAAATGACTACGTCTATTTAAGACAGATAATAACCGCCGAGCCGAACCACGAGATTGAAGTAACTAGAAGAATATATGGGGTTGAGCACATTCGGCAAGCACTCTGAAATCATGACTTTAAGATTGCCACTATCTCTCAAGAGGAAGGTATATAACAGCTGCGTATTGCCAGCACTTACCTATGGATCAGAAACCTGGAGGCTTAGAAAGAGGGTTCAGCTTAAATTGAGGACAATGCAGTGAGCGATAGAAATGAAAATGATAGGTGTAACCTTAAAAGACAAGAAGAGAGTGGAGTGGATCCGGGAACAAACAAGGGTTAAGGATATTATAATCAAAATGAAGAAGAAGAAATAGACATGGGCCGGACATCAAGCGCGTAAGAAGGATTTTCGCTGGGCATAAGGGTAAATCCCTGCATTCCCAGAGAAGGCAAGCGGGTTAGGGGGTGACAGAAAGTTAGGTGGACCGATGACATTAAGAAGCTTGCTGGTATAAAGTGGCAGTAACAAGCACAGAACCGAGTTGACTGGTGGAACGTGGGAGAGGCCTTTGTCCTGCAGTGAACAGAGTCATGCTGCTGCTGATGATGATACCCAATAAAAGTGGGCTGGGGGATAACAGCCATTGGTAGAGCATCGGACGCGTTATTCGAAGGTCGCAGGTTAGGTCCCAGCCCACCGCAAGTTATCTTTTCATCCACTTTTCTTTCTGCTCGTTTCCATCGCAATTACATCTAATTACCCTTGGTTTTCGACGACACTAAAACGATTATCAAACAAAAAAACGCCTCTTTCGCCTTGCGAAACGCATTCAAGCATGTACTCGTTGGAATGCTTATTTTCACGCACTGCGTGCATATCGCATTGCGTTAAAACAGGCAAAAGCCGTATTTTTTTAATACTTATCTACCATCGCTTCTTCCCACTAATCCATCAAAATTTTGGAGCACTATTCAAATAAAAAAAAACTAGCATATCTTTTACGGCTTCTGATGGCTGCGCTATGAGCAATGAAGAATGTTGCATGGTACTAAATGACACCTTTGCAAAATCGTTTTCTGATAGCTATACTGACACGACGCCGCACTTGTACAAAAACAATTTTTCCCCATGGATCTACATGTAGTTGATTTTGCGGGTATTATGACATTAATTCATGGTTTAAAACTATCGTCTTTCTGGGGCACTGATGATGTTATATCCAAGTTTTTGAAAAATACTGCTATGTACTCCACTGTATTTTTTATGTACGTTTTCACCCAGTCTATTGAGTACTCGACTGTGCCTGCAGATTGGAAGGTGAGGAAGGTGATGCCTCTGTTTAAATCAGGTGACCCGCATTCCCTCTCCATTGCAGACCCAGCTCGCTCACTAGCATTCCTTGCGAAATCCTCGAACATGTCATATTTACTAACCTCGTTTCATTTCCTAAAACCATCGCATTTTTCACCTCATTTTAGCATGGGTTTCGCAAGAAATATTCCTGCGAAACACAACTTGTATCTTTATGCATAACATTTCATTCTCCTTAGATGACGCACAGGTTATTCAGTGTATTTTTAGATTTTGCTAAGGCTTTTGACAAGGTGTCTCACGCTTACTGATTCTTAAACTCAGTGCTCTTAATATTGACCCCAACATCTTGAAGTGGATAGAATGTTTTCTAACTAACCGTACTAAATTTGTAACCGCTAATGATGCCGTATCCTCCCACTGTGACGTAAATTCTGGCGTTCCTCAAGGCTCTGTTTTGGGCCCCTTGCTATTTCTAATATATATTAATGACTTACCTACCGTAAATAATAGTTCCATTAAACATTTCGCTGATGATTGTGTCGTATACCGTGAAAAAGGTCTGCATGATAACCTCATTCTTCAGTCAGATCTAGATAACATATCAAAGTGGTGTTCAATAGCTAATGTTATTAAATCCCATGAAGTGCAAGATTATGAGTGTTTCACGTCGCTCCGATGCATTCATTCCTCTAAGCTATGCTATCAGTAACATCAATCTTCAATGCGTAACCTCGTATAAGTATCTCTAAATTCACATAACGGATAACCGTTCTTGGCATACACACATTCAATACATCACTAACAATGCCAATAAATCACTCGGGTACATACGCAGAAATTTTTCTAATGCCCCACGCCATTTATAATTGCTACTTTACAAAACACTCATTAGACCAAAACTCGACTATGCGTCTTCTGTTTGGGACTCCGGTCTACAAACATTAAAAACAATTATTGAGTCCGTTCAAAATCAATCAGCACGTTTTATTATGTCAAACTATTCCTGCACAGCTAGCGTTTCATTACTGAAATCAGATCTCGGACTACTTTATTTGCAGCTTAGAAGAAAAATTTCTCGTCCATGCATTTTCCGAAAAATTCTTCACTTGGACAATTCAATTAAACAGGAGCTCATATCACAACCGTCATACATATCGTCACGTCTTGATCATAAGCATAAAGTTTTCACTGCTCTCTGTCGCAGTAATGTTTTTTTTTTTTTTCGAATCCTTTCTGCCAAAAAGCAGTGCCGAGTGGAACCGCCTTCCCTCCTCCATCTCCGGCTTTGAAAACGCATCATCATTCAAAACTGCACAGGCAGATTATGTTACGCGCCTTAAATAACTTTTTGTTGTTCAACATGTATTCTCACTAACTTGTATTTTTATGTTCTACTTTTACTGCATTTTTGTTGTATTACCGAACCCCTCTGTAACGCCTTTATGTGCTCTGAGTGTAGTCGAAATAAATAAATCAAAATAAATAACAACCCAAATACCATCCATGACATTACTGCCTGTTAGATCTAAATAATTTTAGTCAGTAATAATTGAAAATAATGCATGTGGATTTACACCATAAACCACGACATCATTTATGAGGCCAGCAGGGTTCCTTAAGCTTCTAAGAGCAGGAGTTCTTTAAAATTTTACCTTAAGTGCACCATCCCCGTGAATTTTCCCTGCATTGAAACGAGACTGCCGCGGCCAGCATTCCGCCCACGCTTTCGGGAGTCCTGCTGAGTTCTTTAACTACCCTGCTTCATTAATGAGTTATCTGGTCGCTTTAAAAAGTACTGTTAGTACTGTACTTTTTTTCCCAGTACTTAACCTGACTATTATGATTAGCAACGAACACATATCTGCTTTTATGGCATGGTTCTTTTGTTATCCTCAACCAGATTGTCACCTCTACTGCCTTGTAACTTTGAAATTGTGAACTACTTCAGGCACAGTGCAGCTCAAAAACACCCAACGGATCTCAAACGACGAGCGCGCGCTGTCGTCTATTGTGTGTCATCAGTGGCGCGGCAGCGTGCCAGAATAATGTACCAACAAGCCCAACTTGTCACTTTGATCTGAACTACTTCTTGGTGGTTAGGATAGCAGGTTTAGCTTATATTCTCAGAGTCATTTGGCAGTTACCACTTGACCGGCGCAACAATGTTAAGACGAAGCTACGTCGTCGTTGCAAGAACTGATAGATTACAGTCGTTTGCTACGAGTTGTTACCATGAGTGATTCGTCTTAACAAGGCCGAAACCACAACTGCAATGAAATATATAAAAACCTTTCAATAAAATTATTTGCTCTTTCCGTCCCCAAGCTTTCGATTTCTCCTCGGCAAAAAACCAACGCCACTACATGCTTCACCTGAACGAAAAACTAGCCCGACTATGCGCCCAAAAGCGTTGAATCGAGAAATTCTGCAAAAAGGTCGCACGCTTTGGAAATCATGACACGCTGATAAGAAGCCTACTAAACAGACTCGTTCTGACTGACTTCTCAATGACTCACCATGGTTTATTGAATGCCACTTAAAAAAAATGCCACTTAGCAAAAGAAGAATCAAAATGCATCTGCGCAATAAACAGGCGAGACGCGGCGATGGGTGCTCAAAATGAACCAAATTCCCGTTCAAGAGGTTCATATCGGGCTGCCTATCGACGCTTTTCACGCCGCTATCTTATATCCGCTGCTAGGGAAGAGACGTCGCGAGAAGCAGAGAATCCACCCCCCCATCTCACCTTCGTCAGCGTCGCTGACTGTGTCCTCTTGCTCAGCCGGCATGTCGCCACGTCGCCGCCGCTCCTCCTGCTGCAGCTGTGACTCCCGGCACCTGTCCCGCCGGCGCGCTCCGCCAGCTGATATGGCTGCCCTCTCGTGATCGCTCTGGCATTTCATGTTTACTTCTACCGCAGCGTTATTTTTTTTCAGCCTCCTTTCCTCTTACTATGATTCCTGGTTTATTCTTATTGTTTATTGATTATTATTACGGTTCCATTGCAGTGACAGTGAAAAAGGTGGCACTGGTTAGAGACTAAACTCCCTACTTGGTGAATCTGTGCTCAGAAAACTCCAAGAATTGCACACTGAAAGCGGCGATTACACTCGTGGGCAATCTGATTGGTGGCATAACTGCGGTGTCTATTGAAAGCCCTCCAACGTGCAGTACACGAAGGATGCTTGAACACCTCTCCTCTCTCCCCCTGCCCCCCTCCCCCCCCCAAAAAAATTGTGTATTCGCGATTTACACTTAGCGCTCGCCACCTAGCGGCTGTGCCTGGAAACAGCACTAGCTGCATCAACCTTGAAAATAGATGTGTTATAACTTATCCCGCATAGTTCCTTTATTTTCGCCATGCCGCACACGCAAGCTCGAAAAGAAGAAAGCAATGTCTAAAGACTGTTTCTCTGTGCTGCAATTTGCGGCACCGCGGTGGAAAGGTGGCAACATGCATACCGTTATAACACTTGCTGAAGGATGCAGACAACGCGCGATGGAGAATGGCGCAAATCAGAAACCTGCGCATTAGAAGGAAGGTTACCGTGGTTTCTTCTGACCCCTTCGCTCGCGACGACTTCGTTCTGCCCGGTCAGTACACCATTATTTAGCATGTGTGCATTCTTTTCAATGCGCGCTTATGAATGAGAGAAGCATATGTGAGAAACTTCTTGCGTTAGGTGTGTGATTATTTTTCGTGTGTGCTTGTTTTCTCTGGAAGTCGTAGTGCCATCTATTCTCATATTTAAGCTGCTGTAACCCTTCCCCCGGAATTTCGTATACCACATGACTGTATATATACACGCGCACAAACGCACGCGCGATTGTACACCAATGATGGGTGTTTCTAACCGAAGAAAACTCGCTACGCCCTGGCATCGACATACGTTTCTGCGGCATGAGCTGTAGTAACAACAAAATGGTGTTTACAGTTTGATTTGATTGATTTGTGGGGGTTTAACGTCCCAAAACCACCATTTGATTATGAGAGACGCCGTAGTGGAGGGCTCCGAAAATTTTGACCACCTGGGGTTCTTTAACGTGCACCCAAATCTGAGTACACGGGCCTCCAACATTTCCGCCTCCATCGGAAATGCAGCCGCCGCAGCTGGGATGGTGTTTACAGTTTATGCCGGCATTTGCTCTCTACAGACGGTGCTGTGTTTTCATTACACGTGGCGTGCTGACAGTTCACGTTCGTCCGCTCTCAATAAATTTAAGAATAACTGCAAAAGGTGATTGTTGCCGCATTTGGGGCGTTCGAATTGCGGGTGCAACTCTTGGTTCCTTCCGAACGCAGTGCTCCGCAACTTACATTGGGACAGGTTTTCCCTAGTGATGCATTTATCGCCATTTCAAAAAATCAATAATCGCTAATACGCAGAAACATAAAGCGGATAGTCCAAAATTATTCCTTTTGATAAGTAATAAATTTATGAAATTTAATATTATTTTCACCAAAGCTGTACGGCTGACCTTTTTGAGGGCCGGGTGGAGTTCACCCACCCTGTACAAAAGTTTGTGCGTGCATAGCACGCATGTATGTACATGAGCATAGTTGTTATATACAGTCTATAATATATATTACGAGGAAGAGCTTTACTTGAGACGAGCTCGAGCTGGCACACACTGATGATGATATCTATAGATGATAAAATTTGTTACAACCGGCCCCGCGGCTGGGCCGGTTGTAACAAAATTATACAAATGATGATGACACGTCCAATTGATCAAGAAGAGCCGGTGACTGCGCTCACACTAATTCCCCGTCACGCTGGAAGCGGCCTCCTGGCTGCGCGAGAGACCATATTAAGAATTGCATCCGCTATACAGCTTCAGTCGAGAAACGTGCATCCCACGGCAACGGTGGTCGGAGAGAGCGTTAAGTGGTGAGATATGGTAATTAATGGAGGACGTTTGTGTAATGACCATATAAGATCCTATAAAACGACTGAGGAATTTTTCACATAAGCCGGGCACGCGGACAGCAGTCCAGAGAAGAACTTCGTCTCCTGGAGAAAAGGTGACAGCACGGTGAGTTGAGTCGTAGCGAGGCTTGCGAGCTTCCTGAGAGATGGCGGTGTTGATTCGGGCCAGATGACGGCAGTGCTCTAGGCGAGACAAAATTTGTGCGGATAAAGGGCCTGCTGAGGTAGCAGGAGCCGAAAGGAAGGAGATGTCCAGAGTTACACTTGGAGAGCGGCCATGAACCAGAAAATAGGGAGAAAAGCCGGTGGTGCGTTGCGTGGCCGTATTGTGGGTGAACGTTACGAATGGCAAAATGGCGTCCCAGTTCGCGTGGTCAGGGTTGACGTAAATGAAAATCATGCCCGAGAGGGTACGATGAAAGCGTTCCGTCAAGTCATTTGTTTGTGTATCATAAGTAGAAGTTGTCTTGTGGAAGTTGTTGGCGGTGCGTAGAGCCTCAGCAATAATAGAGGTTAGGAAGAACTTGTCGCAGTCACTGAGCAGAACACGTGGAGCTCCATGGCGTAAAAGTATGTTACGCAGAAAAAAATCGGCTACTTCAGTGGGCTGTGCCAGCGTGCAGTGAGGCTGTTTCCGCGTAGCGAGTGAGGTGGTCAACAGCCGTCACAATTCAACGATTTCCATTGGAGGTCACGGGAAGGGGGCCGTACAAGTCTATTCCGATGACTTCGAATGTCAAAGCGGGACAAGGAAGAGGTTGGAGAAAGCCATGAGGAGCAGTAGTGGGTCGTTTCCGCCGTTGACATAAGGCACACAAAGAAACATATTTGAGAATGGCGGATGAGAGGCCAGGCCAGGTGAACCGACTGCATATTTTGTCGTACGTTTTGTGATAGCCGGGATGCCCAGCAGCAGGATCATCGTAGAATGGCTCAAGAGCCTGACGTTGTAGACAACGCGGTATAACGGGGACCCATTCGTTTCCTTCAACGTGGTAAATATAGCGATGTAAAACACCATCGTGAAGCTTGCATTGTTTCAGTTGTTGACGAAGTCGGGCGTTCTGAGGCGCGGATGTGCCTTCTAAGCGTGCTATTATGGAGCGGCAGTAAGATTCAACGCGTTGATGCGACACAAGGGTAGATGGACGGCCGGATCTTAGCTAACTGAGACCCGCGATGGGTAATGCCGCGGTGGAGATTGATGATGGCGGGCTATCATGGTTGGGTAGAGGGTAACGAGAGAGAGAGAGCATCAGCATTTTGGTGCTTCTTACCAGACTTATAGACAGCATCGAAGTTGTGATCTTGTAAACAAAGCACTCAGCTCGGGTGGGCTGTCGTGGACTACACGCGCTAGCTTGGAATGCTTACTTTACATGGTAGCCAGTTGATCCTACAGTAGCTCCAATCTCTACGAAAATCAGGAAAATCATGAATTGAAAAGGAAGATAACCACCAGATTTCACGCACTATGGGAATCAATGTAATGACAATCAGGTGGCAATGAGCGAAGTCATGCTGTGTGTACCTGACATGTGTGTCTTGATTGTCATGGTTCTTCATACAGTCACGTCGCGCAATACCAGTTTCTGTGCATGTAAAGCTTGTGAACCAGCCGTGAGCGCACCATAAGCGTGGCTTGTAAATCACGCTGTACATGCACCGAAAATGCCATTGGCAGACCATGTCAAGAAGCTACCTTGTTAATGTTATGAGAGAGCTTATGCAGGTGCGTATCACTTGAGGCTTGGAACCAAAAGAATTCCAAGCAACTCCATCCCTGTGTGCTGAACGTTTTAGCTTAAGCATAAATGACTCGGTGACTTGTTTACGTCAATAAAGATAAGCCACCGCCAGCAATTGGTTGATCTGATCATTTAAACGAGTGCATGTGCTGTGAGCATGGCTTTGTCAACGCAGATTCTGATTTGATTGGTATGTGCGGTTTAACGTCCTAAAACCACGATATTATTATAAGAGACGCCGTAGTGGAGGGATCCAGGAATTTCGACCACCTGGAGTTCTTTAACGTGCACCCAAATCTGAGCACACGGGCATACAACATTTCCGCCTCCATCGGTGTCAACGTAGATTCTAAGCAAACTGAAGTGATTTGTCTCTTAACAATCTTAGAGTACGCAAAATCGGAAATTTAAAATGTGTAACACAAAACAATAGAGCTTAATGCTTGGGATTCTTCGGGTTTCAAGCCTCAAGTGATGCCGTACTGGCATAAGCGCTCCTACAAATTTAAGCTCGCGGCAAGACAAGCGGTACATGTCATGCACGACGTGACATTTATTTTACCACCACTCATTTATGCTCGTCATGCAGTCACGTCGCACGAAACTTGAAGCATGCTAGATATTAACCCTTGAAGGCTACGTGAACCACCTCCAATATTTTTCAAGTATTTCAAGTAAACGCGCGCATCATATGCAGAATGCCGTCGCAATCAATTATTCTGCACGTGGCAGTGCTACTAGCAGCCGATGCGCCACAAATTCCAAGAATTAATCTATCCTCCTTTCTGGGCCTTTTGGGCCTCCGCGTGACGCGACGAGCCTAATATGTCAAATATGCTGTGACTGGTCGAGCAAGAGCTTACGACTTCCGGTTAGTCTGCAAGCAGCTGTCCGCTCTGCTTGTTGTTCTTCGTGTTGCCCGCGTGCGTGTAACATGTGCGGGACACGGCGTGTCCTCGTGCGAATCCATCACGTGGGCAATCCTTTGAAGACGTTCGCGCAACGCAAGTTGCATACCGGCACGATTACGGCAGCCACGGTTCACCAACAAGTAGGCAACTGACAGAGTCAACGGCCTGAGTCGCGGCAACCGGAAGTAGACAGTGACGTCAGCGATTACGCATGCGACGCGAGATTGGAAGAGGCATGAGAGGGGTAACGAAAGAGCATCATAGACGACGAAGACGATGAAAGCGACCGTACTCGTGTTGTTGTTGCTGTTGTACCTCTATTTTGGCTGCAGCTGCCTCTGACTCTCTTAGTATATTTTGTAAATATATTTATTTCATTCATTCTCTCACCGCCGTGACATTTGGTGGTGGTGCGGGGTACAACACGATATAACAGAGCTCCGCAGTGGCCAACGCTTGGATTTTTCCACCATGGCAAACCAGGGACCCGCTCCCGCCGAGGCGACTACAACAACAACTGTTGTCTTTCCGCAGCTAAAAGATCCTGGCACGTTGTGTGGCACGGATGATGTCGACATCGAAGAATGGTTGCGGTTGTACGAACGTACAAGTAAGAATTACCGCTGGGATGAAACTCTTGTGTTAGCCAATATGCTGTTCTACGTGAAAGAAAGAGCAAAAGTGTGGTTCGAGAACCACGAAGATGAAATTGGAAGCTGGAATGCGTGCAAAGAAAAGATGCGCGCCCTTTTCGGCAAGTCTTTGGGTAGAAAGGGAGTGGCCAAGAAGAAGTTGGCATCTCGTGCGCAAACGTCATCAGAGTCATACGTGACTTACATACAGGACGTGCTTGCCCTTTGCCGAAAAGCAGACAATGGTATGGAAGAAACCGAAAAAGTAGCTCACATATTGAAAGGCATTGCAGATGATGCATTCAACCTTCTCATATGCAAGGACTGCAACACGGTCGATACCATCATCAAGGAGTGCCAGCGTTTTGAGGC